CATTGGTGCGTATTACGTAAGTGTGTTACATTCCTTGGGAAATCCAATAATTCACATACGGTCAATCTAATTATAGTTTTTCTTTGTCCTTTTCATAATTAATTAAAGAAAGAAAGAGCTTTAATTTTGTCCGGTGGGAATTTTTTTTTCCCCAAAGTACGAGACAGTGTATACTTTCAAAAAAATATTTGATCCCCTTGGAATTCTTTGTTGGCCAGATAATGATGAGTCATGTACACCATGGAATCTGCAACCTAATTAAACTTTAATCATTATCCTTTTCGCATGTGTGTCCTGTTCAAAGGATACGGAGAATTTCATGTTTCAGATTGGTTGAATGCCAATATTTCACAATATGGCACAATTTACTTGACGCGAATCGGATGAATTAAGTAAGGTAAATCATGCTTCCACGCCGAATGCGATCACTGGTTTAGTTTTCCGCCTCATTACCATGTAAAAAAAGGGATCGTTGCCGTTAAGGCGAATGAAAATGGTATTTTCATGTGATTAAAATCATTCTGTATGCTGGTTATCATGTCCAACGAGAAAATACTTGTGAATAAATAATATAAAATCGCCATAACCTGGAATATCATGGTACATTGTGGACGAGAGGTACTGTATTTACTGTATTCGTTGTTCTTAAAGATATTTTTTTACGTTTACAAAAAACTATTGACGAATATTCTTTATCGTTCAATCGTCATTCATAGACTTCAAATCGTCGTGGTCAAAAATTTTTTCTTGGTCTTTGATCATTTTTTTAATTTGCTGTAAGTACTATTTAATTACATTTAGAAATTTTCATGAATTTGCGCTTGACATTTTCGTTAGTTTGAAGATACCGGATATTAATATTTCAAGCGAGATAAAAGTAATCCCTTTTCAGTTATACAGCAAATACGTTACTGCGTACGGTACAATAAACAATTACAAATTCATGATCACGTGACATGACGCGGATGATTTCAGATCGCGTGTTTTGTCTACGAAGTAAATGCATTTCAACAAATAGGTCACAAGAAAACTGATGAACGCAGAGCAACCGTAGTTTTGGAATGTGTTGCCACAAGTTGGCGGTACACTGTATGCATGGCACAATGTTCGTTTTGTTGACCCGAGAAATTCCAACACGCAAGTGTTGCATCGTATTCTCAACCAACTTACCGACCTTGGCTTCGACCAAGTACATTATATGACATATTGGACGTCACGATTTACAATAGAATTTTTTGACAAGAATAGAAAACATATATCACAGGTAAGAAGCACACCTCTGTCTGAGAGGGTGTTATGTTTTCAACGCCGAGGTAAAATCTTTATGTTCTAATGAGCATCAATTCCTACTTCTTTGAAATAACAATTATTTTTTTTATCTAGAAGATGTGAATTATTCGAGCCTTGCGAAGGCTCTTTGGCGTTCGTTCGTTCGATATTTTCTTTTGATAAACCATGCGATCTTAGTTCGCCACCAACGAGCACATCAATCGTGATAATGTGATACGCTTGGAACAATGAATTCTTAAACGGTCCGTTCAAATCAATACTAATTTACAGCATGGAACAAAAAGAATTAATTAAGTAATATCCATAGGACCTTATGTTTTCCTTATTATCCTTTTTAATTGCTATCCTAGCTACTGTATTACTACCCAACATCTTAGTCACGTGCGACTCATTGTACAACCAATTAAACGAGGTAGTTTCTTGATTCTGTGTTTTTGGGTATGGTGCGACCCAAAATTTTTGGTGATTGTGTACACACAGATCGGCAAACCAGGTACAATATCAAATGGTACAATACACCCTTCTTATTATTATCGAGACAATTTATTTGTTTCATCTATATTTATCTGACAAAAGTTCAAATAACAAATATAAACACCTGGAAAGAAAAAAATGGTAAAAGAATTTTATTGAAAAATAAAAAATAAAAATGTTGGAACCCGATCAATCCTGGTTTTTTACTGCGTGGTTATTGGGCGTGGTGGCACTGGTAGGGATAATGTCAAAATTTTAAAATCATTTTCGCACATATCCATTTACCTTCCCCATTTGTTTAATGCAGGTGCATCTTCATAATGCTTTCGCTTCCATCTTCTCACAAAATGTTCAAAAAAAAGACATTGAATCGAAAGTCATTAAATTCATCTTTAACTTTAGTGGAATGCTTGCGTTTATTTGTAAATTTGCCTCCATCGGAACTCCCAGCAACGTGACTTCACTTGGGTGTAAAGTCATACTTTACACTGCAAGCCTGGCCAATTTTATTTACGGGGGATCTTTGAGCATATTTTTGTTACGGAGGTTGAAGCAATTTAAAATGGATTATGACCGATTGATTGGTCTCGTGTTAGTAGCCGCAAGAATGGCGGCCAATGTACGTATCTTTCCATTCGATGCAAGATTATCCTCTTTTCCATTCGATGCAATTTTCCATTCGATGCAACTTTCCATTCGGTGCAAGATATTCACACTTACAGTATTTATTTCTTTTCACGGAATTAATACAACAGATCACGCATATAGTATTTCTCGGCCCCGAAGCACACGTCATCCCTTCTCCATATAGCTTCTATAAAACGATAAATGTTTGTGTATACAATTCCGATGCTATATTCAGACCGCAATTAGCCACCATACTTGCTGACTTTGCGATCGACCTATACGTTGCGGCCCGATTGGTCCCGTCCTTCAGAAAGTCAGGTCGCGATGTACGCACGGAGATCGTGCGCTGGGATTTTCTCCGTTTACTGGTGGCTCTCGGACAAAACTCAATTGGGCTAGCCCTTGTGTTCCTGACCCGAATTACATCATCTTCTAATTACGACGAAATTGTATCCCAAAACTTTTTCCAATTCTTTGCATTTGTATTGATGTCCTATGTGGTAACGATCGATGTTAAAATTGTCGAAGACAAGCATCCAAGGAAACCAAAAGAACCAGGTGACCAAATGACTCCTGATAACCAAGAATTCGGTTTATCCCCACGACCGAACTCCGTGTCTAGCATCGAAAACTATAAATATACTGTGCCCAAGAAGAGATTTTCACTCTATGAGTGGGCCTTTATAATCTTGGAATTTTATCGTGAGGGCAGTCAAGCGCGAGAATTTGAACAGAAAGAATTAGAAGATATTATCGAAGGACCTCTGGATGACTTGGAAGGGGAACGGTGATTCGACATTTACTTTAAAAAAACAATAATGTAGATGTATATTATTTTTATCTTGTACAAAAAAGAAATGTATTTTATTTTTATTTTTATTTTATTTATTTATTCATATCCAGTACACACAGTAATTGTAAATATACAGTATAATTGACTCGCGAATCCCAGATTTATAAATAAACATCCTTGCTTTTTCGCGTGTGCATTGAAACAAATGAAAAATCCGCAGAAAATCAAATGCCATAAAAACATATCCGTGACTGTGAAACTAGTTTTTTTCGGACGAACAATTTTTAGGCTAATTCAAATCACATAATATTATCAATGAAACGTGACATGGTATTGTCCTTGGTCAAAACAATGAACTTGCGAAATTGACTATACAGTACATTTCAGTATAAATAAATCTATACCACGTGATACAATTATGATTGAATACATATACTGTATATACTGTATATTTTTAAATAATAACATCATCATAGGTTCGTTTTACCTTCACACAAACAAACCTTCTTCTTTTAAATCAATCAATTCATTTTTCAGATCCGAAATAGTCCAATGCATTCTAATTACACGTGTTTTATTTTTATTTTTGATGATACAGTACATCAGTTATCTGCTACAACAAACTTTTATCAATTATTTTTTAACACCAATGCAATGCAATTTATTATTTTAATTGATTCAAAATGAATAAATATAATTGATAAATTGTCGAACCATATACCGTATATTTTAATTTTCATAATTAGTAATAGAATATATTAATGATCATATCTCGAGAATCCATATACCGTAACTTGGACAATTTATCAAATCATATACAGTATTTCATTAACGAAAGGATTCTTTGATGTAGAACAGGCATATTTTGATTTTTTTTTGTTGGGTCTATTAAAAGAACACGATGAAGTATTATTCAAAAAAGAATTTTTGTTCAATGAGTATTCTTGATATTTTGTTTAAATAATCTATAGAATAATGTTCAATAATAATGTTTAATGTTGAATGTAATATCCAAGGCTTGAAGTCAAAAAACTTTGACCGGCACTACCATTACATATATTCTTTAAGAAGTTGTACTATAGAAGAAAGAGTTCTCCGCTCACACCCTTCAATGACTATTTTGACAAATTGAATTAAACGGTTTGTCATTGAAGTCAGTCACCAATTCCTCAGTACAACTGCTGCATGAATCTGGTCTGATATTTGAAAGTGTTTAATGAATATCACGTCTACTTAAAAAAATATTATTGATGGTTAATTCTTTCCTGTACGTGGCATCTCATAGAAAATGTTATCTATTTAAAGAATTATATGAATTTTACAACTATTGAACGAGTCTACATCGGGAATGTCTAGATAATTTCGTGCAACTAGAGGCAACGCAATACTACTGTATATCACGTTACGTAATGATAAATATCTAAATGGTGTAGATGAAAACACTAAGTGCTATATAAGTTACTATCATAATAAAAGAGAGAGAGAGACCTTTGTATTATTCTTACCATCATTCAAATTAAGTTTAATAAAGTTCAAACCTTAAATACATCGAGTTGCTTACAACTGATAGAGAAATAATTTCGAGCGGAAAATAAATACTTCTGGAAAAAATTTGGCAAAGAGAGTAAAATCGTAAAGCCTAATCACCATAAGAATTACTTACCTCAATCGTACGACACAAGAAATAATCCGAGATGCCGACGATTTCAAAGTAGATTCGTGATGCATTAATCTTTTTTTTAAAAAAATAAAAATAAAATAAATAAAAATAAAACATAATCTATATTAATATCATAATTCGCAATCTGAACCCTGGGTATCAAATGGGTCAAAAAATAGAAGTTAAAATAGCAATCGCATGAAAACTGATTATGTTTTCAGGTGAAAATAATATTACCATATAATATATTTCCGGGATAAAGTCAATTGGTTATTCGCAGACAAAAGATAAACCTAATAACACCGATTTCTGTCTTCACGTGAAAAAAACAATTAAAATAATATTACCAGATTAAATTTCCACGCAGAAGTTGGTTATTCGCGAAGTCATTTAACCACACCGCTCAGTGAAAAATTGAGCACAAAATACTGTATATATCAATAAATAATTAATATTTAATACCTGTTTATTATATAAAAAAAAAGAATATTTATTTAATATTTTTAAATAAAATTATAATTATTATCTTATAAAAAATTTTTTTAATTAAAAATATTTATAAAAATAAAAACAATAACTATATATAATATATTTTTTTATATAAGATTAAAAAATTCAAAAAATTCAAAAAAAAAATTATTTATTTTTAATTTATAATTTTATAGAGTTATAAAGTCTTTTTATATTATTTTTATTTAAATAATTAATAAGGTTTTTTTTATTTAATCTATTGACTTCTTAATATTTGAACTTGATAAAAAATAATATCAAAAAAAAAAATTAAATAAAATCATATATAATTCTATTAATATTAAAAAAATATTTTTATTATTTTAAAATATCAATAAATTTATTTTTAATTAATATTAATACTAATTTAATAAAAAAAAATTTTTTATAATATAATTTCTTACAAATGAAAAACAAAATGTCATTTTTTTTGTTACCACTGTATATTATATTTAGTTTATATAATTTTTTTTAATAAAGAAATATATAAATTAAATATAAATTTTAATATTTATAAAAACTAATAAACCAAAATTATAATTAAAGTATTAATAATACATGTTATATAATGGACTGGAGACAATAGATATGTTTTAGTATTGATAATATACAGTATATTATTTGAAAAGAACTCAGATGTACAGTCTGTATGGATTTAACCTTTTTTAAAAAAATGGAATACAAGATTATTAGAATTTATTTTAAGGCTAAATACTAGAAAAAACAAAAGAACAATATAAGGTATAATTGAACAAAGAACTTGTTTCTTTTTTATATTTTCCTAATTCCCAATTATCTAATACTATAGATAAAATCAATGTAGTTATACGTTGCAAGGAGGGTTTGTAGTAGAAAACAGTAGTAAAATTACATAATGAAATAGAATACAATATGAATGAATCATAATACTATTATTATAAACATGTGCAATTAAGGAAATAAACAAATATTTAACTTAAAAACCGTGCTTACTGTTTCGTAGAAAGGCCGTTGTAACCCTTAAGAAAAGACAGATCAAGGGTTTCAGTTGGAAGGAAAGATAATACCAACGACACACAAGGATTCTGGGAAAAATATAATGATTAATATTAACGATTGACAGAACCTAACATGTCTCAAATTAAGCCAAGTAAACTAGGCTCTCGGTTTAATGTTACGCGAATAATTAGTCTATATTAGCGCCAGTGACGACACTAATTAAAAATTTAATTTCACTTCTATAGATAATTAAGCTCTTTTTCATGTTTAAAAAAGAAATATCGTAACAAAATTTATTATATGCAAGTTATCCTACCCTAGCATTTCTCAAGTCTTGCGTAATTATATCATCAAAAATGTTGGGCAGGTAAGCTTGGTAAAACTTATTAAAGTTAATGCTATTTGAAAATAACGGATTTAACAGATATTTACGTTGCGAAAGTTTAAAAGTAATGATATTTAAGCCTAGAATAT